ATGCAGTTCAGGATCATCTGCTACAGGATGCCCTTCTATACCTCCACTGGAGTCAGAGGACCCTCCCTCCAGAAGCACATCTGCCCTTGGGCCAATTCACAAATCACAGGATGCTTTTTCTATTCTACAGGGATTTCCAAGTGCTTTGTGACTGTTTTTTGCAGAGAAGAGGTGGATGGGTCACCCCCTAGGTCCCCAGGCCCAGAGCCTGGAGGCTTGTAGGAAAGCAGGGAGCATCCCTCTCTCCTCTGCCTGCTGTAACCAGCCATGCCCTCAGCACTCCACCAAAGCCCCCAGGTCCACAGCCACTACCTTCTGCATACATACAAGCATATTGCCATAGCCCCTCTATCCTCTGTAGTCTTTCTCTGCTTTTGGAGCTCCAGGACCCAGCTGTCCTAGGCTGCTTGCCACTTCTCTCCATCCCAAGTGCCTGTGCTGTCCCCCAGGTTCTATCGTCCCTACCGTCTTCTCAATGCCAATATCATCTGTGTCCTCCAAGGCAACTACCTGTATCCACACAGAAGACTTTCAAGTCCCTACCTACCCCTCCATCCTTAGCCTAAACTCCAGATGTACCCATCAGAGCCTCCCTCAACTTCCTCAGTCTCCATCTAGAGCCCACTCCTGGCTCCTCTGCCACCTGCTTCCACCCATGCAGACCTCAGCTAGAGTCAGCAGGGTCACCCAGGAAGCAGTGGAGGATGGTCTGGCAGAGGTCAAGAGGCCACTCTGAGCCACCTGCCTCCCTGCCTGTTGTGCTTCCACTGAGACAGCCCACGTGAAAGGCCCTGGAGGAGGCAAGCTACAACTCAGGACCCCTGACCCCATGCCAACTGGAGGCTCCAACTTCAGGCCAGAAGGCACAGGCTTGGAAGGAAGACAGCCATCAGAGGAGTCTGCAGCCCAGAGGCCAGCTAAGAATCAGGGACAGTGGGCCAGGCTCACTGCCACACCCAGTAGCCCAGGAGCAATCCTGCCAAAGCCACAGGACTTCCCCAAGTTCCGGCCAAGATGGGTCACCCAGGGCCTAACCACCTCAAGAAACAACAGCCAAGGTTCATAGAGAGCTAGTGATGTCCTTGCTGCAGTCACCCTCCTACTGCTCCCCCACAAGGGGTGGGGTAAGAGTTTACCAACACCTTCAGAAAAGGAAATTCTACTCCAGCCCATTGCCTCTCAGGAAGTCCCTCCTGCTACCTCAATCTGATCCTTCAGGTTGCCTTTAGAATCACTAGGATCAGCCCAGGAGAGATATTTGGGTACAGGTGGAAGGCCAACTGTGGATGAGAGAAGGCCTTTCCCCACCTCAGTAGAAGTATAGAGTAGCACAGAGGATTTGATGGGCAGAGACCACTGGCTGAATGGCAGTGGACATGTTACTTCATCTTTCTGATTCTATTTCCTCATTGGGAACAGCAATCCTTACCTTACCCACAGGGGAGAATCCAGTGAGATTATACACATACTTTGTGTGTGTGTGTGTGTGTGTGTGTGTGTGTGTGTGTGTGTGTGTAAGCCAGTGTAAAGACCAGAAGTCAACATCTGGTGTCTTCCTCACCCTCTCCACCTTAGTTTTTGAGCCAGCACCCCACTAAACCTGACTACTGACCAGAGAGTTCCAGAGACATGCCTGTTTCCATGCTCTCACAGCACTAGGGATAGAGACTCACACCACTGTGCCCAGCTTTTACGTGGGTTCTGGGGATCCAAATTGAAATCTTTATACTGAGCCATCTCCCCACCTCCTCTAATACCAACAGCAAAGTTCCAATCAACCAGCAGGCCTGATGGACTCTGCTTTCTTATTCATACGCATATATATCAGACCCATCCTCCCTGAAGCCTTGGTTCTCAGGCTTCTCCCTGGCCTCCTCATGTGTGTCCCTACGTCCAGTCCAGGCCTGCTCCTTCCTTCTGCCCTCCTAGCTACAGAGGCACTTCTCTGAGAGGAAGATCTGTTCCTTTTCTTCCATTGACTCCCCCTCTCTCCTTTCAATCAATCTCAGCTTTGGGAGAAAAATCCTGGCCCCTTAGCCTGACATTCCCCGTTGGGGGATGATTGCCCTGCATTCACCACCTAAAACTCTCTCAGGCTGCAGGCCTTGCTCCACACCTCCAGGCCTTGGCTTCCTCATCCTCCCAGGTAAAGCTAAGCAGCTCTAATTTCCCCACAACAGCTTCCCACCATGTCCTGCCCAGGTCTCAAGTGGAGACACTTCTTCCATCTCCCATAGCACTTGTCATCCTGCATTACAATCACCTGCTGTGCTCTAAATCCTCTGAAGATTCAGCTCAGGGAATCCCAGCCCCAAAGCACATGGAAACCAGTCCATCAACATTTATTGAATGAATATATGTTCTCAGAAGGGCTATGGAGAAATGGATATGGCAAAAAAAGGAGTCTCACCCCTTCAGATAAGGACAGGGGGCTGGGTCACCTAGCCACCTGCCCTGGGAACTGGCCCTCAAGGTGAATGCAGACACCTCATGATCCTCTGCAGTCACTCCCTTGACCCTGGGTGTCCCCAGAAGGCAGTGACAGTTTCTGATTAATTTTCATCCTCACTTTCCTCCACAGGGTACAATTTGAGACAGAGGGATAGATGTAATAACTCCAGAGCCTTAGAGTACTGGATATTTACAATGTCCTCTTCCAATTCATGAAGTAGAATCTCATGGTTGATGGAACACAGTGGTAAAAATCTATTTGTGATTTTGCTTTTCTTGTCCAGGTATGTCTGGATAAAAAGAGGCGGACCTCATGGGAGAGTGTGAGGGGACCAGCAGGGCCACCATAGGGTAGGATTTATTTAGCCAGACCATGTCTCCAAACCTAGGCACTACCTGCTCCCATGCGTATTGAACTCTGTAAGCCCAGGGAAAGCCATGAAAAAGGGAGTGTGGAAGGTTCCAATTTACAGATGGGAACCCTAAGGTGGGAAAGGCCAAGGTGACCTTCAGATGAACCCAAGGTCTGCTCTTGGGTTAGAAGGGAGAACAAGGGGAGTCAAAGACAAAGTCATGGCCTTAGACAGGGTCTCTAACAGGTGTCTGGCAGCCCACAGTGTCTTCATCCTGTGACAATGTGGACTGTCCAGGGCTGTGACATTTATCCCCTAGCCAGAAAGGCTCAGCAGGGCTGAGTCACCCTGGTCACCAGCAGCACAGGAGAACAAAAGAAGACAATGGCTGCTGACTCCCTGCTATGCCCTGAAGGGTGCAAAACCTGACCTCTCAGGCAAGACGGTGGGGAAATGGATAAGGCAGAAGAAGGAGTCTCACCCCTTCTGACAAGGACAGGGGCCTGGGTCACCATGCGGGCTAGCCAGCTGCCCTGGGGACTGGCCCTCAAGGTGAATACAGGCACCTCATGATCCTCTACAGTCTCTCAAGACTGTGCTTCTGGCACAGAGTGGGTACCTCTGCCTAAACTCACACCTGGGATCCACACATTACCTGACAGGGCCTCAGGATGAGCCACAGACACACTGTCTTGCCTCTGCCTCCTCCTGACCTTACACAAGTCAAGTGACCTCTCTTATCCTTCACTTCCTCTTTGGAAAACCAGGAAAGGAAAATTAACCTCCTGGAAGAGGCATTGGTGCGAAGGCTGGTGGGAGGCAGTTTCTAACCATGAGAAGTCTGAGTTACCTCAGTGCCTCAGTGTTTATTCCTGGGAAGTGGGAATAACCTCTGGAGGCCCTTTCCCAGGATGTTGAAGAGTCTCCGACGGCAGTGGGTGAGAAAGCACTTTGTTCAAAGGTCTCAAAATGTAGTGACCAGAGGGGTGGTTCCTATCTGGTCAGTCAGTTCCTTCCAGGGGCATCTCTGATCCCCTACTATATGCCTAGTATAAAGCAGGAGTTTAATAAGTATCAGACAAAAGGATGTTGAAGGCATTGAGGGCACAAAAATAAGAGGGTAAAGAAAGAAATGAACAAAACAACAGGTGAAAGAAGGGGCCAGGGATGGGCACAGGCCAGGGGACTACAAGTGGGACTCTCAGAGGCCAGGAGGGTAGAATGGCAGGAGGTTGACCAGGGCTTATCTGTGTCAGAAGGGCTGTCCCTATGGGCTCCCCTGTCCCAGACCCTCACACTTTACCCTAGTTTCTATTTTGGAGGTCTAGCCTCTCCTGTTAGGGCAGGCTCTACAAAATAGAAGCCCCTCTCCCCTCCCTCAGCTTGACAGCTCTGGGTCAGTTCCCTGGCTCTAGAGGTCAAAGAGGAAGGAAGCAGTGTGAATGAACCCGCTTTTTCTGGCCCCACACAGAACACCCCACTCTGTGTGACCTGTGTCTCCACTCATGACATTGGGGGCCAGAAATGAGTGTATCCATAGCTCTGGGCTGCCAGGCTCTGCAGGTATTTTCTGACTTGCATCTGTGGAGGTGTGCTCTAGTCTCCCAGTATTGGGAAGACGTGGCAGCATCATATCATGGTGTCATGTCGGTCAGAGTGACAGCCTATGCCTGCCAGCCAGAGCATGTGTTAGTCAAAGAGTCCGAGTGACAGGATATGTATGTCCTGGTATGCCCACATGTGTGTGGCACCAGGAGGGTGTGTTAGGGCTGGGGCATGTTGGAGTGGGACCTGTGTAGTGAATAGACTGTCGACAAGAATGTGTTGACAGACCAGTGTGTGCCAGGGAACGTGTGACGTCTTGTCACCGAATGTGAAGAGCATGCTGCTGTGGATGTCAGTGTGTGTCAGCATGAGTGTGCCTGTGTGTTCTGGAGCGTATGTATCATGTGTCAGTCTGCCCTGGAGCGTTCCTGCGACTGCGGGCCAGTGCTGGGTATGTGCATGTGTGTCTAGGCCAGGAGCCACAAGCCTTTTAGGGTGGCCCACCCTGGCTGTCTCAGTCCCCTAACCATGGCTCCTGCCAGCGACCAAACAGACCTCGGACGGAGATCCAGGTGCCAGATCCCAAGTGACGCTGATTGGACCCCCCCACCTCGCGCGCGCACACGGGACAGGGCGGCTACCCGCACTCACCGTGTCCCTTTGTCGCCCATGGTCCGCGGCAGCCGCAGGGAGGTCCGCGGCGTCTGCACCCAAGCTGGAAAATCCCCGGCCGCCAGGAGGAGCGCGGGCCAGCCAGCTCCGGCTCCGCTCCGCCTCCTCCTCTGTCACTGCCGCCCCCGCCCGCCCGGGTCCCCGCCCGGCGAGGAGCTGCTGCACAGCTCTCGGCCTCGGCTAGGGGCTTGGAACGAGCGCAGATCTGCATGTGTGTGTGTGTGTGTGTGTGTGTGTGTGTGTGTGTGTGTGTGCGCGCGCGCGCGCGCCCAGCGAACGAGGGTAGGGCGGCAGGTCCACGCAAGGGCGTGCACGTGTGTGTGTGTGTGTGTGTGTGTGTGTGTGTGTGTGTGTGTGTGTGCGCGCGCGCGTGCGCGCGTACGCTCATGCACAGCGCTCGAGCCTGTCAGGAATGTGTGTGGATGTAAGAGTATGCACGTCTTTGTGCAGGTGTGCGTGTATGCACACGGCCGTGGGTGTGAGCGCGTTCTCCCGCGCACGCCTGGGCCGGCCTTTGTGTGGGCGGGTGGGAGCAAGCAGAAAACCCGCAGACTCCAAGGCCCAGCAATCCAGCGCCTCTGCGTGGAGTCTGCAAGAGATTCCAGAAGTCTGGCAAGGCCTTCGCCCTTTGCTCCACCATCCCTACCCCGCCCTCCTGGAGAGATAACACGCTATACAATCCAAGTGGACAGGAAGAAGGGTTGGAGGAGCAGCGGGGAGGCTGCTGAGCTGACAAGGTGGGAAGGGTCCAGGAGGCCAACAGGGGAAGGCAGAAAGGAAGAGATGAGGACTGGAGATAAGGAAGGGAAGAGTTGACCCGTTGCCAGCCAGTCGTATCTAGCATCGTGGAAAGCACCCAGGCCAGCTTTGTGGCCTACAGCAGTGACTCTGGACATGGGCCATCTTACTCACAGGTTTGCCAGTGGGGTCTCTGGGCGACCTGTTTACAGGTTGAAGGGACTTGATTGTGGGTGTCTAGAGCCCTGCACACAGTGGTGTCTAGCAGAGCTTAGTCCACTCTGCAGCCTTTTGGGTGGCCTTGGAAATCTTGACTTCTCTCAAGATCCTGACACAGAATCAGCAGGTGAGGGTGAGAGTGGGGCCCATAGGCTAAGACTGAGTAAGAAAGGATTCTCAGCCCTCAGCCCTAATGCATTTTCTCCTAGCTGGAGGGGTCCTGATTGGTCCCAGGTCTGTTTTTGTGTTGCAGGCAGGTGTGAGTGTGAAGGGCTTTGTCACCCCCTCACTGCTGAGGTCTGACTAATTGACCCTGATAGGTCCCTAATATTGGAGTATTAATGGGAGGAAAGGAAACTATCATTTACTCTGATGCAATTGTGGGTCTGGAAACATCTCCTGTAATTACGTTCAGCAGCAGTTACCTTTGCTGTTTACATAGAGTGTGCTGTTTATAGAGTTGGTAATGATATCCCAGTCTAATGACTATAATTATGTCCAGATCACGGAGTGGGGGTGGATGCTGATGGGCAGGCAGGGTGGTCCAAGTCTGGGCAATGGTAAAAGCTAAGAGAAAATGAATTAAGGTCTGGAGCCCCACTGGCCTTCTCTTAACCTCTGGGCTCCACCCTTACCCTCACCAAAGGCAGAGCAGGAAGCTACCTGCTCCTACAGAGTTGGGGGAATCTGGAGAGGAACAGAACAGAACCCTCTGTTGATGGCAGGAAGCTCATTTTGTGAGCCAGAAAGGCCCCTAACCAGGATGGGAGAGGCCTGGTCCTATCCTCCTGGCTTCAGCTTCCTACTGTGAGCCCCCAGCTTCCTCCAAGTCTGATTCTCTCAGCACAGTGGCCTGTGTTAATGCTCAAAGCAACAGAATCTTAACATTTAGGCAAATTCTTCATCCTACTCAATAAGTATCTGTGTGTATGTTACTCTAACAAATAATGTTTTAGATGACTTCCCAGTAAAACAAACAGTCCAGAAAGATGCCCCAGATGGTTTCAGGTAGCCCCTACCCCCCCCGCCCCCGACATAACTCATCTCTGCCCAGTTTGGAAGGCAACACTCTAACATTTAGGGACACTGAACAGATTGGTAGACAGTGGAGTCCACAAGCAAGCTGTCAAGTACACCCCCACTCCCCATCGGCCTGTAAATTCCACAAGGGGCTCGATGGTATGCCTGACACTACTCCGTGCTCACAGTTCAGTGAGATAAATGCTCCATTGCCTTTTTAAAAAAAATAAATGAACAGGGGCTGGAGAGATGGCTCAGCGGTTAAGAACACTGGTTGTTCTTGCAGAAGACCCCGGTTTGAATCCCAGCACATACATGGCAGCTAACAACGGTCTGTAACTCCAGTCCCAGGGGATCCAACAGCCTCTTCTGACCTCTGCAGACATCGCACAACATGGGTGCTCTTAACTACGTGCAGGCAATACACGCATACACATAAAATAAAAATAACAAAATTTTTTTTTAAAGTTAAAAAAAACGAACAAACTGATATTCAGAGAAACTAAGTAGCTTGCCCAAATCCAGAGCCTCCTGTTGACCTTGGTCTCTGAGCTCCCTTCCTCTAGCTTTCCCCATACCCAGGCTAACCCTGAGTAGAGGCAAAATTTGACTCTGGCTCACTGTTTGTTTGATACTGTTTGCTGTGCTACCCCTGAGTCTGGGAAATTACAAGTCAGAGGCAAACAGGACAAACAGAGCTTTGAATCCCAGGAGGAACCTAGGATGAAGAATTACCAGGGAACTTTTCTTTACCTGTTAGGCCTATGGAAAACACACTGCTGTATTCATTCAGTAATCAAAATAACAAAACTACAAATGTAGTGATAATGAAAACTCTGTCAATAGTATAATTTCAGTCATGTGTAAACAAGGAAACAAATCAGCAAGGAAATATAATGATAGGAACAAATGTCACTAGATAAGGAGGTGACCTTTGGGCAGAGCTGCATCAAGGTGTCAGTGACTTACAGGGGATGTCCCAGGAAAAACTGCCCAGACCCTAGGACCAGCAAGGACCAGGATGGTATGCCGAGTTTGGCAAACAAAGAAAGTGGATGTAGGTAAGGCAGGCAGTGGTCAGATTACACAAGTCTTGTTGTTAGGGGCGAGGAGGATAAGCACTCAATTTAAGAAGGTTTAGGGCCTAGGTGTGTCCAACCTTTGGCCCATGGGCTGCATGCAGCCAAGAACAGCCACAAATATGGCCCACCACAAAATCATAAACTTACTTAAAACATTATGAGATATTTTTTGTAACTAATAGTATCTTTCTGGGATGTGAATTTTATAGGTGACCATGTTGTGTTCTAATGTCAAAAGGTTGGACATGCCTGGTAGGCAGATGAGTAACAGTCTCAGTTTTACATTTTCCAAGGTCACATTGCCCATTGTTGGATGGGGATGACTTGGGGCAAGACAAGAGCAGGAGCTGGATACCCTGTTAGTAGAGTAGCCTGGTACCATAGTGGGTTGGTCTAGGGCTATGACCCCAGAAATGAAGACAGTAAGGACTCCCAGCTATGCTTGAAGGTAGAGCCAGCTCATCTGCTCAGGACTGGCTATAGAGAGTGGAAGGTCCAGGACAACTTGGAGAAGTAGGGCAGTCTGTTCAGCATGCCACCCAGACCACTGCTTCATGCATTTCTGCAAGAGAAGCCCTGGTCCAGAGGACTGGAGAGTTCCCCAATTCCTATCTCAACCTACTTGTTATGTATCTTCCACCATAAAACCAGAGAGTGCTTCCTAAAGGCAAATGGACTCCACTGCTGAAGCCCTCAGAAGATAACTACTCCAGCTCCTCCCCAACTTGAGCCTGCCACATGCCTTCAGTTTAGCACCCACAATAATCACTTCTTGTCTTTTTAATTTTTTATTTTTGGAAAAAGAGTCTCATGTAGCCCAGGCTGGCCTTGAACTCTCTGTGTAGCCAAAGATGACCAAAGATCAGAAGATCCTCTAACCTCCACATCCTGAGTGCTGGGATTACAGGTATGTGCCACTGCACCCAGTTTATGCAGTCCTGGAGATCAAACTCAGGACTTTGTCCATGCTAGGCCAACACTTTTCTGATAAGCTACATCTCCATTCCCCTGATAATTACTTGTGTTAAAAAATGAGGGCTGAGGGCTGGAGAGATGGCTCAGTGGTTAAGAGCACCAACTGCTCTTGCTGAGGACCCAGTTTTGATTCCCAGCACCCACATGGGGGCTACAAACAATCCTTAACTCTAGTTCCAGGGGAATCTGAAGCCCTCTTCTGACCTCCATGGAATTGCATGACATGGGTGCACTCACACTCATACACATAAAATAATAAATAAAATATTTTTAAAAAAATGAGGGCTGGGAAAATGGCTCAGTGGTTAAGAGCACTGGCTACTCTTGCAGAGGACCCGGGTTCAGTTTCCAGCACCCACATGGCAGCCAAAAACCATCTATAACTCCAGTTCCAGGGGATCTGACGCCATCTTCTTGCCTCTGTGAGCATTGCATGCACAGGTGCACTTACATACATGCAGGCTAAACACTCATGCACATAAAATAAAAATAAATAAATCAAAAAGAAGAGGAGGAGGAGGAAGAGGAGGAGGAAGAAGAAGAGGAGCCCACAGAGGTTAAGAACATCTATTGCTCTTCCAGAGGATCCAAGTTCAGTTCCCCACAACCATGTTGAACAGCTCACAACTGCTTGTAACTCAGCTTTTAGGGGGATCTGACACCTCTGGCTTCCCTAGGAACCTGCACTCACATGCACATACCCCTACACAGACATTTAATGATGCATAGAAACAATTAAAAAGAAAAATAGATCTTTAAAAAGAGTCCAGGCTAGCAAGATGGTAAGAGGGCAAAGCCATTTGTCACCAAGCCTGACAATCTGAGTTTAATCTCTGGGACTCACATGGTACAGAAAACTGACTCCTGGAAGTTGTCCTCTGAACCCCACACTTACACTATGACAGGTGCACCACAGACACGCAAATAAATAAGTAATAAGAAAAAGGAAGGTGGATAGTGATAAAGGAAGATACCTCAAGTCAATTTGAAGTCAGCCTCTGGCATCCAATGTGCACACTCAGGCAAACACACCCATATGCTCACATGCAACACACACGACACACACAAATGAGGCCAGGTGTGGTGGCACACACACACCTACAATTCCAGCACTTGAGAGGCAGAGGTAGGAGGATTGTCTCGAGTTTGAGGCCAGCCTGAATTACACAGCAAGTACCAGGCTAACCAGGGTTACAGAATGAGATTTTGTCTCAAAAGGAAAAACAAAAAACTAAGACAATGATCAACCAGATGAGCCCTTGACCAGGACTACTTAATTACGCAGACCTCTTA